CCTACTCACTCTTGCTACTTTAGTAGTTATTAGTGGTAGTAGCATTTTACAAATTTAAACTTGGCCACATTTTATCACAATTCAAGCGTTGGTCCGACGATACGACCAAGTTTTGGTGCCGTTGCCAGGGATTGAGCAATGCAGTATTCGGGAATTAATTAGGAATTAATATTCCTTTAATCTTGTCTTTACTTTATTTTATTTTGTTTACTTATTGTATTTGTTCTTGATTAACTAGTACTTGAAACCAAGGAAGTAAAGCAAAGGAACTTCAAAGCAAAGAAGCAAGCTAAGCTAAGCAAAGCATAAAAATAAAAAAATTTGCAAAGCAAGGCTAAAAGCTAAAAATATCTTGAAGTTGCTTAAGGACGTTTAGTGAGCTTTCCTGACTCTTTTTACTTAGTTAAATCGTCGGCCTTCGTAGAGGCAATTCTAATTTGCTTAGTTAAATTATCGGCCCGCGTGGAGGTAATTTATTTCTTGCATTTGTTGAAAGCATGGGAGTATGAGATCAATGTATGTGGAGGTTTGTTGTTGATTGACTTGTTGCGGAGGAGAAGTGCTTACTACTTGCTAGTTGTTGAGTTGTTGTTTATTTGATTTGCATTGTGCATGAATGGTCATAGATCTTTGAATCTTACTCTTATCCCACTAAATTTTCATCTTGAATCGGTTGTTTATAACCCAAGGGGAAAGGGTAATCCAAGTGACTCCATTTCATCAATGGATGTCCATAATGAGGACCATGTTGAAGACCTTGGTCACATCGACCAACAAGGCATTTTTCACCCTAATGTGCATCAACAACATGATAACATTCAAGTACCATTAGGCATGCCTAAACCTTTCATTCCATAACAACAAGGCCAAGTCCCAATAGGAATGCCAAGGCCATTCTTTGTACCACCACCTCTACCTCTCATTGTTCAAGCAAATCATGGGACTTATGTAGAGCAACCGGTTGTGAATCCTCCCCTTGCTTTAAGAGGCCATTATGTGCCAAATGAGTATAATGCACCAATATGCATTTAACTCCCTCTATTTAAAGCACACCATTATGAGATTATACTACAAACAATTCAAATGCCTCCAAATTATCATGGGCTACCCAATGAAGAACCTTATAAGCATTTGGATGAATTTCTTAAAGTTTGTTCCACTGTGAAATACACGGACATGCTAGAAGAAGTTCTAAGGTTAAAATTTTTCCCTTTCACCCTAAAGGACAAAGCAAAATACTGGTTTAACAATTTGAGGCCTTTTTCTACAATTACTTAGGCAGAGATGCAACAAAAGTTCTTGAAGAAGTATTATCCGGTGTCTAAGACCAATGTAATGAGAACTTCAATTCATGAATTCTCACTAGGGAATGGGGAAATGTTTCATGAGGCATGGGAACGAGTAAATGATTTGCTTAGGAAATGTCCATACCATGACATCCCTAAATGGCAATTAGTTCAATACTTCTTTGAAAGTTTGTTAGACAACCATAAGGGTATGGTTGATGCTTCTATGGGTGGTTCTCATCTTGATAAGTATGAAGATGATGTATGACGCTTATATGAGAGCATGAGTGAAAACTCAATGCACCGTTCTTTATCATCTAAAAATGGTAAAAATGTAGGTGGAAGGAAGAATGTAGTTTTATATCAAGTTGATAATTCTAATGATATAGTCACCGAAGTTAAGTCTCTATCTCAAAGGTTTGATCAATTTTTAATCAACCAAAACTTGGCTCATCAAGTGTCTTCCTCCCCTAATCATGTTAATCATGCTCATTATCCTTCCAATGAATCATGCATGACTTGTTCTAGTGTTTTGCATTATACTTCCAATTGTCAACATGGACACATAGTGAACACCATGAGTAAGTAAATGCCACTTTTGTTAACTAAGGGAATAATCCATATGGCACTCATTATAATCCCGGGTGGAGGAACCATCCAAATTTCTCTTGGAAAAGCCAAGGGGAAGGCTCAAACCCTCCCCAAAGTGGTTTCCAAAGTAAATATGTTCCGCCCTCTATGCAAAGCCAAGGTTCCCGAGGTTATCGTTCATCTTACCAAGCATCAAATGGAAATCAATTTTTCAACTCTCGTTTTCCAAACCAATCTTCATATTCTCAAGGAAACTTAAGAAGTCCCGCATTTGAAGAAAAAGTTTTATTCGCTTTGGGTACTTTGGAGGCAAATACTCAATTGCTTCATTCTCACTCCCAATCGATTGCAAAGCTAGAAACCCAAGTCGGGCAAATAGCTAGCACCTTGAATGTAAGGGAGAAAGGAAAAATGCATTTGAATCCCCCGTCGAAGCAACAATTTGTAGTGAAGACCAATTCCTTTTCGGAAGGTTATACACTTGACCATGTGAATGCGGTGACCACTTTGAGAAATGGGAGAGTTATTGACAATCAAGTTGGTGTTACCAATGAAGAGAGTGAACCGGTGTAACCTAGTGTTGACACCCATCCCATCTCACATCCTATTCCTCCTTCGTTGCAAATGAAAAATCCCATTGTTGAAAATGCTTCAAAGAATGTTTTTGAAAAAGCTTTTGAGCCCAAAGCTCAATTTTTGGATGCTTTAAAAGCATCCACCTCTCTTAAAAAGCAACCAAACAAGGCTAATGAAATCATTGATGTGTTTAGGCAAGTAAATCAATCTTCTTCTCTTGGATGCAATTTGACAAATTCTAGCTTATGCCAAAATTTTCAAAGATCTTTGCACCCTTAAGAGGAAAAACAAAAGCCAAGCACCGAAAAAAGTTGTTTTAACCAAACAAGTGAGCTCTATCTTGCAACACAACACCCTCCCAAAGTTCAAAGACCCCAATTCATGAACCACTTCATGCACAATTGGTGATCATGTTATCAATCGGGCTCTTTTAGATTTAGGGGCGAGTGTGAATCTTGTTCCCTGTTCTGTTTATGTTCAATTGGGCTTAGGTGATTTGAAACCGATGTTGGTAGTTTTATAACTAGCTGATCGATCAATTAAAAAGCCTCGGGGTATCATTGAAGATGTTTTGATTAAAATTGATAAGTTCTTCTTCCCGGTCGATTTCGTTGCCATTGACAAGGAACCGGTCCCAAATCCTAAGAGCTAAATTCCCGTTATCCTTGGCCGTCCATTCTTGGCTACCGCCAATGCCAACATCAATTGTAAGACGGGGATAATGAAGATCTCATTTGGTCACATGAAAGTGAAGTTGGACATTTTTAATCCAACCCCTAACTCTTTGGACAAACATGAAGATATATGTGCTGTTGAAAAATGCTTTCCAAATGAATTTGAAAAAAAGGATTCCCTGCTTTGTGTTGAAAATCCAAATGGTTTGCCTTCAAAAGAGTTTTCAAAAGATGTTGTTTTAAAATCCAATGTTGAACGGGCATGGAAGCCCAAAAGTTTTGTTGATCCAAAGCTATTGAAAGCACTTGAACCAAATGCAACAAGTTCTTTAGGGAATGGTTTACTGGGTGGGGTTCAAAGTTCCATTCACCCCATCAAGGAGGGGATGCCTACCAAGATATTTGATGCGAGCTAAAAGAGCTCAAAGTCTTGCTAGAAACGTTAAACACTAGTGCTTCATAGGGTTTCCCAACCCTATTCCTTCCCTATTTCTTTTTATTTTTCACTTCTTGCTTCGTCTAGATACAATCTGGGATCACAACACACACACACACACACACACACACACACACACACATATGTATATATATACATACACACACACATACAAAACAATATGTATATAGATATATATACACACATATAAAACAACCATATATATATATATATATATATATATATAAATATACACACACATACAAAACAACCATCTATATATAGATATATACACACACACATACAAAACCCCCATGTTTTAACATACACATATGCCCTTAATAGAACACTATAACTATGTAATAGTAAAAGTCATTTTAATTAGTCAATTAAAATATTTTACACCTGTCATTTTTTTCCTTTTTTATCATCACTGTAATCACCCAAATCAATGGCACCACCACGTCATCGCCCCCACCGCCACTTTTACCAGTGCCTCCCCTACCACCAATATAGGTGGCTTTGTTACCACCACAATTGATGCCCAAGACACCACCATTCCTTCGAACCCACACCTGAACCAAAAAACAAGCCAACAATCATCGATGCGATTTCCATCGGTGGCGGCGGCAGCGACAATGATTTGCGACAACGATGACGATCTACGGCAGTAGTGACGATCTGCGACGATGACGATCTACGAAAGTGGCGGCTACAACGATGATAAAATTATAATAAAATAAGGCAAACTAATTTTTAAAGGTTGGATTACACATAATTAGAGAGCATAGACTCAACTAAATATTAATATATTTTTTTCTTTTATTTTTGAACCTTCGCATTAGATACGTGGATTATACAAAAAAAGATGTACCTATCATATTTTATTGAAAGAAAAAAAATTTTATTGGTTCATAAAAATAGTTGTTGAAAACTCACAAAGTCACAAAAAGAGAGAATTACTCAACAACAAATACAAACAAGTTAGTTGGATAAAATAGGAAAGTCAAATAAAAGGGACTCCTTTCACGGGAAAATACTATTTTCGCGTGTTTTGTGCGTGAAAATTTTTGCGGACAAATAGACCGTTGCGGGAAACTAGATTTTTTCTTTCTTTTCTTTTTCCTTCTATCCAAACTCCAAAAAAATTTAAAAATTTTCTCTTTTTTTTCTTTTCTAGTTGATTCCACCTAACCAAACGAAGTCTTAGGGTGTAAGTGAAAGTTAAAACTAAAATATTCATCTAGTTGAAAAATGACCTAACCTCAGGGATGCGGGAAATTGTAACCCTTTCTTTTAGTAAGCCTTAAAAAGTGACTAGGTAAATCCACATGGGAGGGGGATCAATGCAGGCTTCCCTCAAGGGGTGTATGTGTAATTTAACCTTCTTTTTTTTTTTTTTTTTTTAATGGTTTTTTTCCTTCCATTTCCATTCTAGCAAATTGGCCCTAATTGTTGTCCTCCCACTCTCGGCGGTACACACCCTCGCTCTCTTTGAAGTAGACACCAAAAGCCCTCAAATTGTTCCCCCACTCTCGGTATACACACTCTCCCTCTATAGGGTTTTGTGTTGTGGTTTTGCAGTCAGTGAGAGAGAGAAGCGAAGAGACATGGCGTGGGGTTGCAGAGCTCTCGTGGCGGCTGCCAAAAATTCCGCCGCAGCGACCCCCACCGCCACCTCCATTTCGATGGTCACTAAGCAAACCGGCATACTGAAGCCTGTACCGGTATCGCCGGCTCTTGGAAAGTTCCTCGGCGGCGTCTCTGAAACTTCCCGCGCCGTGGCCGTCAAGAAGTTGTGTGTATATATCAAGAGCAACAACCTCCAGGTCTCTTCTCCCCCCCCCCCCCCCCCCCCCTCTCTCTCTCTCTCTCTGTGTAACCATTTCTACGTGTATATACACATGTGTACATAGATTCCATTTCACACTATATGTGATTTTTAGTTGTAATCGCGTATCATTTCGCTCTTAGCGTTTTATTTGACTATACTGTACTTTAGCCTCCAGGGTTTCCTCCGCCAAGGTTCTGTGTATAACTACTTTATGTTTAGGTAGATGGATTGAGAATAGCGTTATGTTTTTCTTTTTGCAAAACTGTACTGCATTTGAGCTATTGCATGTTTTTTTTTATTTTTTATTTATTCTTCTGCGGATGTTCCTTTATTTATTTATTCAAATTCTCTGTTTAATTATTTAAACAGAGAAAGAGGAAAAGAGGAAGTTGTTCAGAAAAAACCAAAGCACTGCATTAGATGCATCCCTCTGAAGACCATGACCACCCAGAGCTCTAGAACCAAACTGTTGAATCAGAGACTGACCCTGTACCAAGGATCATGGAACAGACTAAAAGATGAACCATCACCAATCTGAAAGATTTTATTGTCCAACATAAAGTCTCTAACTGAAAGAATGTTCCTCCAAATCATTGAGTCACCATATTTCTGTCCAAAATTCCAGAAAGAAACTTTTCGCCAACAACTTTAACAGAGCCTCATAATTTCTATATATGTGACATGATTCAATTTCACACTCTATATGTGATTTTAGTGTTATACCGGTAAGTGATAATGTTGATTTCTGCTTGCTTCTAGGTAACTTATTGTGTTTGTGTATACATGACTTTATGCATAGGTTGATGGATTTAGAAATTAGTTTGAGGTTTTTTCCTTGCAAAAACAATATTGGGTTTTAGCTATTGAATTGATATTATGTTTTATTTCTTTGTGCCCTTTTAAACCCCCTGTTTAAATCCTTAGGAATGATTGAGCTAAAAAGAAAGCCAACTACTAAGCATAGGGTATTATTTGATGGCAAATATGCGGCAACTATTCTTCTTTTTTCCTTTTCATTTCAATGAACGAGTGTTGGTTTATTCTGACATTTGAATGCATCAAATTTTCTTTGTTTGTGTAGATAATATTGCTTGTTCTGTTAGATTATTGTTCAATACGTGGCAACTGTTTTTTTTCTTCTTTTTCACTTCAATGACTGAGTGTTGGTTTCTTTTGACATTTTAATGCATCAAATTTTCTTGGTTTGTGTAGAGAATATTGCTCCTTTTGTTAGATTATTGTTCAATATGCGGCAACTGTTCTTTTTTCTTTTTCACTTCAATGAATGAGTGTTGGTTTATTCTAACATTTGAATGCATCATATTTTCTTGGTTTGTGCAGGTAATATTGCTCCTTCTGTTAGATTCTTTTTTTGATTAGTAAATAATGTATTAAAGAGAATTCAATAGGGGAACACATCCCAAAAGAGCTACAAAAGAACAGAGGGCCTCAAAGAACCCAAAAGATCTACAAACTCCTCTATGGATTTACAATATCTCCCTATTACCCAAGAAAAAAGGGTGCTAATAATGGAGAATTTCAAAGACCCAATAGGATTTTCCTTTACTTCAAAAGATCTCCTATTTCTCTTAAGCCAAATGCACCACCAAACACATAAAGGTGTAACTCTCCAAAATGCTGGACTTGAGCCCCCACTGAACAGCCTTTTTAAGCCCAAATAAAGCATCTGGGAGACCTCGGCATAACCCACTGATACCCGAACAACCCAAGAATCAACATCCAACAAACCTGCTCCATTGGGCATTGCAAAAGAAGGTGATCAATTGTTTCCTCATCATTCTTACACATAAAGCCCTAGTTAACCACAATCTGTCTCCATCTCCTTAGGTTATATCGAGTCAAAATCTTCCCTAAGATGGATGTCCATGGAAAAAAGCCACTTTGAGTGGAGTCTTAGAACGCCAAATAGCCCTCCACAGAAAGGGAGGAGTCGGATTATCCGAAAGACACCTATTTTGGGATCTAACATCAAGGCGCCCATGACAAGAAGGAAGCCACACCCAAGAGTCAAAAACATCTCCCTTGATCTCCTGGCGATAGAAGAGCTCCAAAAAACCACAAACATCCTCAATTTCCCAATCCTGAAAATGTTTCAAGAATCGAACATCCCATACTGTTCTCCCACTGTCAAGGCGATAACAGTTGACCACCATAGCCTGACGGTTAAAGGCAATCCGGAAGAGTTTAGGGAAAGTGTGTGCAAGAGTTCAATCACCACACCAAATGTCCTCCCAGAAATGGATTTCCCTGCCATCCCGAACACGAAACCTAACATGTTTAGAGAATTCATCCCATCCCTTCCGAATAAATTTCCACCCCAACTCCACTTGGGAGTCTCACCTCCGAAGAATGCCAGCCCCCTCTCAACTCCCTATATTTGTTCACAACCACCGTCTGCCATAATCAATGCCTCTCAATCCCAAATCTCTAGAGCCAGTTCCCCAACAAGGCCTTATTGAACAACACCAATCTTCTGATGCCCAAACCCCCCTTCTGGATCTGAGTGTAGGCATGCTCCCATTTAACCAAATGAAACTCGAACTCCTCCCCCTCACCTCCCCGTAGGAAGTTCCATTGTAACCTCTCAATTCTCTCTGCAAAACTACAAGGAATTTGGAAGATCGATAGGAAATAAGTAGGAGGACTCGATAGAGTGATTTTCATTAAAGTGATCCTCCCATCTTTAGACATATACCGCTTCTTCCATCCTGCCAGTCTCTTATCAAATCTCTCAACCACTGAGTCCCAATTACCCACTCTCCTGGATGGAACCCCAAGAGGCACTCCCAGATAAGTAATGGGAAAAGAACCAATACTGCAACCTAAAGTGTTGGCTAAAGTTGAGATCCGAGGAACATCCCCAACCGGCACTAAAACACTCTTCCCTACGTTCACCTTCAAACCAGAGACAACTTGAAACCAAATCGAAATACATCACATGAATCTCATCTGGAACTCATTAGCATCATAGAAAACCAGCATGTCATCAACAAACATCAAATGAGAGATCTCCAACTGGCTAGTGACATCTCTTCCCACCCTAAAGCTTCTAAAAAGACCCAAATCCACACCACTTGCCATCATTTTACTGAGACCCTCCATCACAATCAGAAAAAGAAAGGGTGACAGCAGGTCTCCTTGTCTCAACCCCCTCGAGCTGCCAAAAAATCCGTTGGAGCATGAGGACCAAAAACCTAGCACTTGAGATGCAGAACCCAATCCATTGCTTCATCTCTCCCCAAAACCCATTCTCTCAGAAAAAGAAACAAGAAAATTCTAGCTGACGTGATCATAAGCCTTTTTAATGTGCAGTTTGCATAAGACCCCTGGAACCCCAATGCACAATCTAGAATCAAGACATTCGCCAACTATAAGTACTGAATCCAAAATCTGACTTCCCCTGGCAAAAGCATTTCCCGTCCAATACCTCCCTCAATCTCAAAGCCAAAACCTTAGCAATTATTTTGTAGATGCATCCCACCAAACTAATTGGTCTAAAGTCCTTCACATCCATCGCTCCCCCTTTATTTGGAATAAGGGCAATAAATATTGAATTTAAGCTGGGAATGAAAAGCATGGTAAGTGTTCATCACCTATCCCTTAATCACCCCCAACTCTATTTAAGCTCATCTGTTGGATTATTGATCCTGGGATTTTGAACAAAAGGGTTATTGTTGGCATCCACATCTCCTCCTCTTATGTAGTTTGTTTATCTATTAATTATCTGGGGATACACATCCTTCACTAATGATGCCTGAAGGAGCTCTTATCCTATCATCAATGCTTAACTATTGATATATATATATATATTAGGGTAAAGTGCATTAAACCCCCCCCTGAACTATTGGGGTATGTGCAAGAAACCCCCCTGAACTATAAAAGTTGTAAAAAACCCCCCTGAACTATTGGGATATGTGCAAGAAACTCCCCTGAACTATAAAAGTTGCAAAAAACTCCCCTGAACTATTGGGGTATGTGCAAAAAACCCCCTTGAACTATATATTTTTTTGCAGTTCACCCCATCCACGTGAATTGATTGACTGAAAGGGATGATGAAGCCGAGGAATTTGTTGCTGGGATCGGTGGGTCTCCTGTCATAGCTCCATCATAGCCGTTGCACCACCCGCCAGATCCGTCGGCTATATATATCGCACTTCTTTGCACCGTTACGTCAGCTCATCGCCGTCACCGCCTTGCCCGCCGTTTAGCTCACCTTGCTCGCCGATCCATTCCACCGTCCATTCCAATCTCGCCGGCCCATTTCGCCATCTCCATAGCCGAGCACACAGCCGTCCACAGTTCACCGCCGAGCCCCCTTGAGCTCGTTGCCGCCTCCACAGTTCACGGCCGAGTCAACCGAGCTCTCATCACAGCTGAGTCCTCCGCGCACAAGCCGCGATCATCCGAGACTGAGCCATCCCGCTGACCTCGGATTTCTTTGGTCTCTTCTCTCTCTCTAGCTCTCAGTTTTGGGTTGTGTTGGGTGAAAAACATATTTTGGCAGAAAAAAAAGTAAGAAGTGTATAAGTTAAAACGACGCAGTGTGTTGTAAGGGTAAACTGGTCTTTCAAAATTTTCGATGCCGGAAGCTGATGTCATGGGGGTAAATTGCAACAAAATCATAGTTCAGGGGGGTAAAATTGCAACAAAATCATAGTTCAGGGGGTTTTTTTGTAGTTCATGGGGGTTTCTTGCAAATGACCAATAGTTTAAGGGGGTAAATTGCAACAAAATCATAGTTCAGGGGGTTTTTTTGTAGTTCAGGGGGGTTTCTTGCAAATGACCAATAGTTCAAGGGGGTTTAATGCATTTTAACCTATATATTATTTAACTACCAGTAGCCATCTTTTCCTTTCCATGATTGACCTTTCAAAGTAATACATAGCTTCATTATGGAGTTTGATTTGGATTTTTCATTGGGCTGTATTTTAGAATGAGATGCTATTTGATGAATACATTCATCTCTTCTTGATT